AGGAGCCTTTTATAACCACCTCGCGCACTCACTTGGCTTCTGTCAGATCGGGCATGATTATTCCTGAGCTCCCGCCAGTTCGGATGTCACTTCCTCTRGCCGGACAGAACCGCCACTGCTCTTTTTTTCGGAGCCGTCTCTACGGCCAGTAACGATGGTGGCAGGTGGCGGTAGTAGGAGGCCGTTTGAAGTGCGGCTTGTCAGGTGTCAGATCCCAAATCAGTCAGGTGCGCCGCCCTCGGATACGGACGTCCTTGGTGTCAGGTACGCTTGGTCAGCCTGGTGTTTCGGAAGCGAAGTGTTGGAGTGGCGAACGAGATGTCTTGAGTTCGGTTTGGGGAGTGTTCCGAGCTGCCATGGGTTAGCTCGGGTCACAGCTTTGTGAGGCTTGGGGCCCAATATAGTTTATGCTCCTCGCAGGGAGCTTGGGTTCTCAGTAGGGAGCTCGGGTTCTTAATAGGGAGCTCGGACTCTTAATAGGGAGCTTGGTCTCCTAGTAGAGCGGTCTGGAGTTCGGGCTCAGTAGTGAGCTTGGACTTGCTTTCAGTGTTCGCTTCAGACGCTCTACTGTCCCGAATTGCTTGTTTTTGCCATGTGTCGGGTGATTGCGAGGTCGGGCCAAATTCCCCTTCATCACTCTTCATCAGCAATTTCTAACATATAAATGAAATCTATTTGAAAGGATTGTGGATTTGTAGGTAGCGTGGAGATTGGAATAGGCCAGCCGTACAGGATAGTGCTGGGCCAGATCAGGTGGGTGGGCTGTTTTGTAATGTTCAATTGGTGGGGCCTTTATATTTAGGGACAGATATTAGACATGGAACTGTGGTTCCCTTCCCTTCCCTCTGTCGTTGATATGTGACAGGTTGAGTGAGGTACTAGGCCCAAGAAGACTGAGGGTCTAGCCTGAGTCTATGGGATCAAGCACTGGCTTAGGGAGGAGGAATCTTTTCTGCGCAGTCATGGATGGAGTGCAGGATAGTCAGCCTGAGCCTTACACCACCGGTCGTGGAGTCGAAGTTGATGTGGAAATGGAGAGAATGATGGGTTTATTTTTCCGGGCAGAAAAGGGAATGCTAGGAAACATCTTCCGACCGATAGAAGAAGAAGATGCAGCTAAAACGAAATGAACTAATATAAATTAGCGAGAATAGGTGGATGTACGGGTTTTGTTAAGCCAAAGTTAACAATTATTTATATTCATTACTACACTAATATAAATCAAATTACTACGTAAGATGAGCATAAGTCAAATTGGTATTTAGGTTTTTACATTCAATCCAAATCTATAAGCAGCCCTAAAAAATAAATCTGTGATATGTTTTCATTATGTCATGTTACCAAAATTTCACCAAACGGTTGGTTTTGGGACCAATTTATGGCATTCCTGATTCTTGAAACCTGAGCTGGTGGCAAGTTATGGACAGGAGTCCTTGAATTTTCTCAGATATCCTGTTTGGTCTGTTTCTGTTATGTTGCCAAAGTAAAGAAAAAAAATAGAAATTATGTCATTGTTGTTTTCTCTCACCATTGCTGTGTTTGGTTTGACAGAAAATTGAAACAGAAGCAGAAAATTAAGGGAAAACTCTTGGGGAATTTCACAAATAATCCCTGAAGAACTTCCCCCCAAATTTCTGATTCCCATTTATTTTCTATCACAGAGAAAACAAAAACATTTTGGAATACATACCGTAATTCTGGATGGTTTGATGAACGAAAGGGATTACACGTGGTACGATGTTGTGAGAGAGGCTGATGGGCTTGGCCATAGCTTCCTTCTCCAACCTCATCTCCTCCCTCAAGTTGCCAAACAACAACCTGTAAGGATGTCCCTTGATGCCTTGCTGCTTCAGACGCTGCTCCAGCTTCTTTGGTCTCCACCATATCCAGTATAAAACTATTGCGACCCATGATAATATCAAAACACTAGAGATTACAACCCAATCCATGAACTCAAGTTCTCCCATATCAGAGAGAGAGAGAGCAGGTTCTTCTTGCAGTGATGATACTTCAGGCTGGTCTGGTATCAATAAAGCAGATACTATCCATCAATATCTCAGATATCTGTTTTTCTCTTCAATGCTAAGAACCTGTTCGACATATTGCAAGGGAAGGTTTTTCCATTCGCACCTTCACCACAAAGTTCAAAAGGATAACGTAAGCAGTGAGGTCGTCTCAAAGCCTGCCACTTTCTTCAAGTAGAAGAGTTGCACTGCAGACTCCAATCTTAAGGCTTGGCCAATAACGGAGATTTGTGTAATTTTTAAGAGTCAAACATCAGCCTACCACCAACTAGCCCAATTGATATTCCATATGCAATTAAATGGGTGGTCTCTGGATAATGTCAATATGATCGTCATTGATATTCCATATGCAAAATTAATGGGTGGTCTCTGGATAATGTCAATATGACTCTTTGTTAATGGGTTTTCATATGAACACATTGTCACATTATTCGAGTGTGAAAAGACAAGAATCAACACAATTAGTGTGATGTGCTCAAACCAGTCCCTACTTGGAACTTGGAAGAGGGGGGAGAGAGAGTAAAGGTGGGGTTCAGAGCTGATGAGGTAGGTCCACCGATCATTTTGTCACCTTCTGTTTGAGAATTCCAATTAAATTGCAAACTATGGATGTTAGTAACATGGCTGCCCCAGTGAAACGAAGTTACAAGAATCCATAGATTGATACAAGTAACTATATGGGATCTTAGGCCACAGCTGGATAGATTTTGTTAGTATATGTACATGGATAAAACATATCATCTTAATTATATAGAATATTGGGATTAATACATTAAGGACAAGTTTATGGGGACAGAGTACAAGAAAAATAATAAGTATATGCATGCAAAAATGCCTCTAAAACTCCAAAAGGAATGCCTCTAACTGCGCAGTCTCTGAAAGTATTAGAGATACTTGAATATCTTTAGGCTCGTTCTTTTGCTGGGAGTATATATTTACCTAGTTAACACTTCTCCAGTAAATGAATTTATTCATGTTCATTTTTCCTCTGTTAGTTTTAATTTGTGTGTTAACAAGGGCATTTTAGTCCCTTACTAGTTTGGGTAACTTCCCTCCTCCATTTGAAAATGATTGATCCACCTGCAAGAAGGGTAACATTTATCCATGAAACTAACCCAAAAATTTATCCAAAATAAAATGCATTTTCTGTGAGCCTTGTTGTTCTCTATAAAAGAAAGTGGCGAATTTAGTCAACTTTCCCATTAACTAAAAAGTGGGGAATTTGGTCAACTTTCCCCTCTTTTTACAAAACATAAGGCATGCAATAAAAATGCTTCCAAATGTAATTATAGAGGCACTTACCACTACTTCTAGACTTCTGATCATTGTTTTCAAAACTGGACTGGACCGGACGATCAAACCGGAAAAACTAGGAACTGGTCAGGTGATCAGTTCTATTTTTCTCCAAAACCAAATATTTGCAAAAAAACATTGATTTGGTCAGCAAACCATTGATCCAGACGGTTGAACCGTTTGACAGTTTTGACCGTTTTTTTTTTTATTTTTTGTCAAAATGGGCCAACCGTTCGGTTTGAACAGTTGGACCGTTTGACCTGGAAACTGGACTCCTGACCGGTTCGGTCTCCAGGTCGGTTTTAAAAACCTTTCTTCTTATGCAACAAAAATAAAATAAAATAAAATAAATAAATACATCCTGTAGAGATTGTCAGAAATGCCTCTATTGTGCACAGTTTAGAGACACTTTAATGGCCTTTAATAGTTTTTTTTCTTTTGCAACAGGGTAAGATTATCTCTTCCTTCTTTACAGGTACTTTCGGCTGCCTTCAATTAACTATTTTTATAATTAATATTTTATTGTCAAAATAACAATAAAAAAAGATTTATATGCAACCAACGATGAATTTTTGTATTCAACCAATAGTGAGTCTTTACAAAAAAAGTAATAAGTAAAGAAAATAAAAAAAAAAATGAAATGCACTAAAAATCCCTTTCATCTACTCTCATTTCCTTTGTCCAAAACCTGAAAAGCGTGTAAAATGTCTAAGATGATGAAGAAAATGCAATAGCTCTTGCCAATTCTAGGTCTTTTCCAATCTGTCATTGAGCAAAACACTTTATTCAACCTGCAATATAGATGGGATTTTCATTTAAGGCCGCTCCAGAGGTATGATGTTTCTTGTTTAATATTTAAATTCTCTTATCATCCGTAGATATTCTATATTCCATTTCTCAGTTTTTTTTTTTTTCTTGTTAAATAGTCGGGTAGAATCGGCTTCCTAACCATCTGAAGATGAAATTTGTGCTGCCTAGGCATACGAATATTGTGAAATAATCTGCCCTTTTTTCTTTCTCATTCTTTTTTAAGGCATTGCTTATTGTATGGATATGTTATTCTTCTCTTCTCATGCCTAATTCCACGTGGTATAGTGACTAAATTTTTTGGGTTTGATGACTGTGTGCTTTGCATTAGATAGCTAGAGGCCCCCTTTCTTAATTTATTATTGTTTTTGGGAAGCCTACATGTTATAGTCCAGCCTTGGTTTAATCGTTTCTTTTTTAGGCTGTTTAATGATAGATATTTTTTATTCAATTTAATGGGTAGAATTTGTCATTTACCATGTACCGTGTTTACTGTTTAGCATTCTCCGGTACAATCTTATTGAGTGCTTAATTTATATTGTGTGTTAATAATTTTCTTGTTCTATGAATAATTTCAATTTCTTGCATTTTCTCCATTCTATCTAATTTGCAAGCTTTCAATAACTTAAGCCTAAAATTTATTAAACTACCCTTGGAATATTGTTAAGGTAGAGGCTGCTTTAGTCAAGTGCTTATGGGGTGCCTAACACCTTCCCACACCATAACTTTCCCTAGGCCTTAGGAATCTCCATTCCAATTAGACCAATGAGTCATCAAGAAAAAAAATATATATATATTTCTTGGAAATTTTGAGTTTTTCTAAATTTTCATTTCCCAAAAATTTAAGTGGCAACTTCATTCTCTCCAGTTTGGATAATCACAAACAGTGTTCAGTTAATACATGCCTCAACTGTCAAATGTAGTCAATTCATCATTTTGGGTATTTGCCTCCTCATTGTTCAAAACCTTAGAACCATATATAGATTCACCCCAAAGATCTAAAAATTTATCTCTTTGAATTTTAAAGAGAGATTAACCAAATTTATATTCAAGAACACTTAAAGAATTAGACCTAATCTAACCATTAGTCTCTAATGTTTAGTTTTACCAAGATTGATCAATACTGAGTTTATTGTGTCTAAGCTTATGATTTACAGTTCCTAGACCAATGCTTTCATATTAGCCTTGCTTCATCTAGCATTTGTTAATCATTTTTAACTCAATAAAAGCAATTGTACATTTAGCACAAACCATTAGTATTTGTTATTATCAAAGTATAGAGTCAACACCTTGAGCTCTAACTAACTAAACTAGACTAGCCTAATCTTAGAGATCTAGTTCTTAGGTGTTTCTAGAATCATACATGAACCTAAAGATGAAAAATCTAAGTTTGAAAGCTTAATGAAGTGATTTTAGACCCTTGGGAATCATACTTTTGAAGTTTCTAAGGTTGAAAACTATTAGTAGTCAACTGCCTTGACAGTAGACTGATGTCACCTAGTATTTACCTAATATTCGACTACCCATAAATGTATAGTCTCCTACCTATGACCATCGAGGCTAATTTCACTTGAACACTACTTGAAAGTTAACAACAAGAAATTGATAGTTGATTATATCTAATAGTCAAGACTGAGTATTTGCTAGTAGCCAACTATTAGGAAGTAGTCCAATGAAAAATGATTCATCCTTGCTCATAATAGTTGTCTATTAGCTCATGATAATCAACTACTTGGTAAAAATTTTGATTGTTTAAAGGCATAACATCTCTTTTCTCTTCTAATAAGCATTCAATATTATTCGAAACTTGCTCTAAACATTTCCAAGTTTGGTTTAATCCCTTCCCAATGAATCTATAATGGTCGCTTGCTCTTAAGCACTACAAATCAATGTTTTTAGATTAATATATAAAAGAGATTGAATTGTGAAATTTTCCAATTAAAAAGAGTGGTGAGAAAAACTTATGACCGTTGGGCTTATTTGTTTCTCACTAAAATTTCTCTTATCTCTTCAAATGCTTGAACCTGTAGTTGTGTTCGTACTTTTACCTATATTTTAGTTTGATTGAATTAATTTTTATTAGCTTATCTAAAGGCATTTGTTTATTATATTTGTACTTTACATTGTTATCATCTTATTGTAATAGTGTGTTCAAGTGTGAATACAATCAAAGGTCTGATTAGCACCTGCAAGTCCAACTATTCAAGTTTGGTCAACACTCGAAAGTTCAATAGTTTAGATCTTGTTAGCACCCGTAAGTCCAACTATGTAAGGTCTGATTGACACTTGAAAGTCAAATTGTTGTAATGTTTTGTTGGCACCTAGAAGTCCAGCTAATCTAGTAAAATTTCTCGATAGGTTGCTTGGGAAGATGATGAAGGCCTGAGTTTAGCCAAACCTCTATAAATCTATGTATGTTTTACTTTATTGCAATTGTTTGCTTGCTTATTTATCTTGTTAACCACATCATACTACATTACACACACAACCTTCCATTCTCACCAATTTTGCATTCAATGCCTTAAAAGGATTCAATTGGAGGAAATCCATTAAAAACCCAATTCACCCTCCCCTTGGGTTAGGATAATTGGGTAACAAGTGGTATTAGAACAAGTTCACTAATAAATTAGCTTAATAGGTGATTTAAATGGCCACCCAAGCTAACACCTACATAGAGGGTAGTCTATCTTTATGCCTCCATTTTTTAATGAAGCTTATTATAACTATTGAAAGGTGAAAATGAGAGTCTATCTCATCTCTCTTGACAATAAGCTTTGGGAAGTACTATGTTTGAAAGCTCATGAAAATGTTGAGTAACTCTAACATTGAATCTTAATTTAATTACATATTTAGAGGGTCACACGATCAACATAGTGTTTCTAGAAAACTGGCCACAATTAGTAAAAGATTAAACTCAAGATTAGTACCATAAGATAAAATCAAAAGCATAAAAATCACCCAAAACTGAACAATAAAAAGAAATAGCTAACAAGTGAGTCACAAAGGAATAGATTTGCTTAATTTATTAGAACATTACATCAAGAACCCATAGTAAGTAAATGGCTTTATGGTAGAAGGATATTATTGCACTTGGTATAGAAAGAATGTTAAAATTCATAGAAGTGTGATGTTTTTAAGTGCTAGCCATCATGGACATATCAAGTAGCGGTCACCAAAATCTATCTTTGTAGGCTTTCTAAAGAAGACAAAGCGTATGCAAAAGGGAAGAATAGTCAACAAAAATGAGGTTTGATCAAAACTTCAAGCCGGCTTGTTATGTTTCAATGCTTAGATAGTAATTTTCAATGCTGATGATGAGGTAACTTGCCAATTCTATTGCCCAAACTTTCCCTCTAGTGTTTTTCCTTATGCATCTTTCTTAAAGTCTTTGGTGCAACCTGTCAATTCTATTGCTCAAACTTTCCCAATAAAAGAAGTATGAGGTAAACCGATCCCTCCGAGGTTGAAGTTTTTTGTTGGGAAGCCTTCTTGCAAGATGTAATACTTGTGACTTACTCCAAAGAAAAAGGCCTAATTGTTGCGTGTCCCCAAACTAGTGCATTTGGTAGGCTAATGGTGAAAGCCCCTACCAAGTATACAAGTATATAAGGGTTGTTTGCTGCTTCTTTGTTTAGGTGGCCGAAAAGAGGGGGGGGGGGGATCTTGTTGAGATGTTTGAGAGCTACCATATGTTGGACTCTATGGGAGGAAAGGAATTTAAAGATCTTCTTTGAGAAGGAAAGGAAGAAAGAAGATATCATTGAAGTTATAACAGTTAGGGTGGTACAATGGGTAAAATCATTGAAGTTGTTTGTTGATGTCTCCATAGGTATATGTTGCTTAATAATTAGAAGGAAGTGGAGAATTCTAAACCAGCTCTTTCAGCTATGTGCCTTCAATGGTCACCACCAGTTCCTGGTTTTATAGAATTAAACTTTAATGGTAATAGTGAGGGCAACTCAAGACTTTCAAGAGTTGGAGGTGTATTCAAAGATGAAAATGGGAAGGTGGTTGCTTTGTACTCAGGCCCCATTGGGGTTGGTGACTCTCTTAGACCTGAGATGTACACTATTTTGGAAGGGTTAAGGAAGGCAAATGAGCTAAATATTCAAAAATCAGTTGTTGAAGGAGACTTAAAGTTGGTTGTAAACTAATTAGGGGAAGGAATTGAGTCATAAAAAGATATAGCAATCTTCCTACAAGTCTCTAAAACTGTTTCACATCCTCAATGGGTTCACCTTAACGGTCTCCTAATTTGTAGTTAGGATCAATAGGGGAATCAACAAGCTTCACTCCCAATTTTCCTGTATCCTAGAGTAGATCTACAACATACTTTCTTTGGGAAATGAAGATACCCTTTTGTGAGCGGGCCACTTCAATCACAAAGAAGTACCTTAGAGGACCTAGATCCTTCACTTCAAATTGGGTAGCAAGTAAATTCTTCAACTTTTGAATTTCATCATTCTAATCACCAGTGATAACTATATCATCAACATATACTATCAGTACTGCAATCTTTCCTTCCCCTCTTTTCACAAGCAGTGTTTGATCAAATTGGCATTGCTTGTATCCTCTTTATTGAACTACTACATGGAACCTATTGAACAGGCTCTCGGTGATTGTTTCAGGCCATATAATGATTTTTTTAACCTGCACACTTTCTGTTCATTACCTTAAGCCCAGAAACCAAGGGGTTGCACCATGTATACTTCATCTTCATGGTCACCATTTAAGAATGCATTCTTGATGTCAAGTTGATGAAAATCCCAGACAAGATTAGCAGCTAAGGAGAAAAGAACTCTAACAGAGTTCATCTTAGCAATGGGTGCAAAAGTTTCTGCATAATCCACTTCATACACTTGTGTAAACCCCTTTTTCCACTAAACGAGCTTTATACCACTCCACTATGCCATCAACTCTATGTTTTACTGTGAAAACTCATTTACACCCAATTAATTCCTTCCCCTCAAGAAGATCTACAAGTTCCCATGTGCCATTTTTATGTAAACCATTAATCTCTTCCTTCATAACATCTGTCCATTCATGTATCAAAAGAGATTTTGCCACATTCTTAGGAATAAGAACATTGTCAATGTAAGAGAGAAAGGCCCGAAAGGAAGGTGAAATGTTCTCATAGGAAACAAAGTGGGACATAGGGTGTTTAGTGGTGCAAGACCTAACACCTTTTCGGTGAACAATAAGAAGGTTAAGATCATCAGCAATAGAAGTATCAATGGTAATAAGGTCAGGAACATCAATGGGAACCAAGGTACCTGGTTGGGAAGGATCCACCCCCGGAGAGTTTGATGGCATTGGTGGTACAACTTCTGGATGCTCCACAACTCTTAAACTTGGCTGGCCTTTGTGACGTTGAAAGAAAACATGAAAGGGAGGAGGATCAGGAAGAGGATGTAGCTGAACCAGTTTCTCCTCATTTCTACACTCTCCCTGAGGAGAAATAAGGAAGAAAGGCTCACTCTCAAAGAAAGAAACATCCATAGAAACATAATATTTTCGAGAGACAAGATAAAAGCATCGGTACCCCTTTTGAGTGAGGGAGTACCCCAAGAAGATGCAAGGAATAGCACGATGATCCAATTTCCCACGGGTGGACGCCTGATTTTCAACAAAGCAATGATAGCCAAACCACGTGGAGGAATAGAAAGAAGAGGGGCCTTAGGAAAAAGAAGCTGATGTGGGGCTTTGCACTCTAACCAGCGAGAGAGCATACAGTTAATGAGATAGGTAGCACAAAGGATAACCTCAAGCCAAAAACGTTTCGGGACATTCATATAAATGAGTAAACCCCTGTCCACTTCAAGAAGGTGTTGGTTATTTCTTTCAGCAACACCATTTTGTTGTGGTGTTCAGGCACATGAGCTACAGTGAAATGATCCATGCGAAGCAAAGAATTCCGTGAAATCATTATGAAAATATTTTTTGGCATTATCAGATTGGAAAATTTGGATCTCAATTTGAAATTAGGTGAAGATCATTTGGTGGAAATCTTGGATAATTTTTGGTACTTCATCCTTAGTTTACATGGGATATATCCATGTGTATCTAGAGTAATCATCAATAAAGGTAATAAAATATTTGTAGCCATTTTCAAACGGTAAAGTAACAGGGCCCCAAACATCAAAATGAATAATATGGAAGGAAAATTAAGATTTATTATTCTTTAAAGAAAAATGAGTTCTACAATGCTTACTCAATTGACAAGTTTGACATGTAAACTGGGGCACTGACACTGACTTAAATAACTCTAAAAACACCAATTTTAAAGACTCAAAAGACAAATGACCGAGACAACTGTGCCATAAATAGACACGATTCGTACTAGACTAACTCTTAGACTCTGTGACTGTAAGACCAGCCTTATGCTCCAGCATGTAGAGCTCATCCACCATACGTCCTCTACCAATCGTCTTCTTCGAGGCCAAATCCTGGAGCACACAATAAAAAGGGGAAAAAGTTATAAAGCAGATTAAGAATTAATGATACTTCTAACAGAGAACAAATTAATAGGGAATTTTAGAACATGTAAGACATTAGTCAAGGTGAGGCCAAAGGGAAGAGAAATGGTTCCTTGACCAGCTATGGTAAAATATGAACCATCAGCTAGTCTCACCTTGTTTCTTCTAGAGAGGAGGTGGTAGGTCTGGAAATAAGTGGACTTAACAGTCATATGTTTTGACGCTCTAGAATCAATTATCCAAGGAGAGTCAGGGGAATGAGATGATACATGGAAATCTATGACAAAATTACCTAATATAGACACAAATGAAATTAAAGGAGGAAAAGAATCAATCTAACGAATTCCTCTACCATAGAGTTCTAAATGGTCGAGGAAGGAATTAATAAAATCCTTCCTCGGGTCAAAACCAGAAGTGTGTGTCTGAGTCATAGTAGTAGTAGGGAGTTGATTATCCTGAGAAGCCATATTTGTTGTGGTGAACTTTCTTGGACCTTGCTGTCATGACTTCTTATTTAGATGTGAACCTTGCTTCTTGCTTAATTCTTGGGCCCATTTTGACTTCCCATGAAGATCCCAGCATGTTTCACGGGTGTGTTGGGGTTTCTAGCAATGGGTGCACCATAGTTTGCCTTTATCTTCCACCCATTTTAGAATGTCCCCCTTCTTAAAAAAATTTCCCCCACCTGTAGTAACATTCCCTTTTGCTACCAACACAACTACATCCCTTCCGAAGCTATTCATTAAATTTCTTCTACTTTCTTCCGATTGTACTAATGCATAAACCTCTTGGACAAATGGAAGATCCTTGCTACCTAGGATCTGGACTCTGATGGATTCGTACACTAGATTCAAGCCATGGAGAAATGCAAACACTCTTTATTGGGAAAGAAGCTTCTTGTATGCTTTTGCATCTTCATCACACTTCCAGTCTACACTCTGATAATGATCTAACTCCTTCCAGACGGAGGTCAAATCTGAATAGTACGCAGAAAGATTCATCTCCCCCTGTTTACAAGTGGATGGTTCCTCCTATAACTAATAGATTTTTATATAGTGATGCAGTTCAGAATAGGTCGATTTTGCCTACTCCCAAATCTCATAAGCCGTTTCAACCAAAATAAAATTCCTTCTCACCTGAGGTTGCATAGACACCAAAAGCCAGGACATAACCATGTAGTTTTCCTGGTTCCATCTGTCATACTTAGCACTCACGGAATTCGGTTATTTAATTCTCCCATTTATATACCTTATCTTTTCCCTTGCAGTAATGTATAACTTGATCCCCTCGACCATTCTAAATAATTCAAGCCATCCAAAGGTATAACAGCCATAGGGAAGGATAAATCTATACCCCCACTTATTCCGTTCTACATTGAGGAGACTCTAGATGTGGCAGAGTCTTCACGACTCATAATCACAACTTCAAGTTACACTCCAAGTGAACAAACAAAAAAACCAAAAAGAAACAGTTGAACACCCCAATAAAACTCTTTGCACTAGGGAATTAGAGACAACCACTCCCTCCCTTTCCCCCCTTTTAAATCTCAGTTCTTCAAACAAAAATCAGTTGTTGTTATAGAAGGTTGTTGTCACAGCATATAAAGGTCATCACCGACCTACAGTCTATTACAAGGATCAACAGATCCCACAAAAAAGGAAAGAAGAGGATGCTGCTCACCTCACATTAACTAACTGAACCTATTACAGGTTTTGTTCTGGCACACGACCAAAAAAAAAAAAGGAGAAAGGGAGAGAGAGTACTTCAGTCCGATCTGAATCTGGATTTGGATCTTCAATAAATCTCATTGTAGCTGGCGAAGGAAGAAGACAAAAAAGGTTTTCTCGATCTCTTCTTTCAGATCTGACAATCTCGCTCTGATACCATGTTATCCAAAAGAAAAGGAAGAAAGGAAGAAAGAAGAGAGAAGAGAAAAAAAAGAAAGAGATTTGGAGTCATAAAAGAGATGCTGGCGGCACCAACTTTTTATTATTTATACTAAGGTGACACAACTTAAAATGAAAGGTGCTGAAAGTACCAAAGTACCCTTGCAATACTAAACTTACACAATAATAACCTTTCAACAATATATATATACATATATGCCATGGTAAATAAAGTATATTATGATGCAGTGCTATAACTTTTAGTTATGCTTTATTTCTACTATTGGGTGCATACTTAAATGTGGATTCATGGTAAAAAGGCTTTATTATATTAAGTTCATAGGTTGAAAAAAAAAATTATTTAGCTCAAATTTCCTTGAGAATGGCACCTAGTAGTATGTCATGATTATCCTAATAGCATAAAGTTAGTAGATTTTGACCTTTTCATCTATAGTTACCGTGTAGTAGAATCCTATCATACAATGTCCTAAAAGAGCAAAGGGTCATAATGATTATGCCAAACCCTATATTGCTCAATACTCATCAACAAAAAACCCCATATTTCTCAATCATATATCCCACTAGATTGATGACTACTCGTATGAAGGCACTTGAAACTCTTTCCATAAACCATGTTGACTTGACCAAGGACTTTTTTGTTATATCAAATTCAATTGCATAGAACATTCTCTCTCCATGGAAACTGATAAGTCCCATGTTGTGCATTCACATACCTCCATACATAATTCACTATATGACATATGCAAGCCTCATGCCCTTGACTATGGCATAAGTATTTACATTGTCAAACTATGAAGGCTCATGCACAAAGTATCAATGGTAACTAAGGTCTAAGGATTATCTACACAACTGTGATGATAGAATCACCTAGTGACAAAACTCTATGTAACTGTGGATCATGTTTACTGAACTTGTCCTCATAACAAGCACCCAAATATTTGTTTGTCTCCACAAGTGACTTGAGATTCATCACCCTTTAAAAAAAGTATAATATATGTCAATCTATTTGAATCATTAAAGCCGCCTGTCTTAATGATCCTCCAACCAAAAACTATTCAAGTATCTTGTACCAAGATCAACATATCTCAAATTCTATACATGATCTTGACATAGATGCTTTGGACTAATCATGTAAAATGCAAAATTGCCATTTTGTTAATAAATGTGAATAATAAAAAATGCCCCTTCTATAGTGATACACCATTGGTTTTAGGGCATATGACTAACAACACATGCAAGGTGATCTTTCTTAGGGCTGCAAACAAATCAGAACCCATTCATATTCAAATTCAAATCAATTGTTATCCTTGGGTTCAGATCAAACTTGAATTGAATTTGGATATCATATACCATTAACTAAAATAAAAATGATCAAAATATTATACATTCTGATAAAATGAAATAGAAAACCTTGTTATTGTACATTAATAGAATGACTTAAATTTAACTTCTATGAGACTAGAACCCATTACTCTAGTAAGCATATAAAGTTCAAACTAAATTTTACTGATACATTATTTTTATGCATGCCTATATGCTCATGTATGGCATGTATATCCGAAGGAGTAGGAGCCCAAATCCTACTGTCCAGTCTAGAGGGATATTGATACAAAAAAAAATGTATGGCATGTATATTGGAGAAGACGCATATCCTATCCAATTACACAAGAATGAAATTTAGATTGCCTTAAATAAGATCAGAACTAAATTTGAACTTGGACAAATGGATACCATTTTCAGTCCTAGTTTTGATTCAAATATTTACTGTACACCAAAGTGACCCAAACACTTTCCTTTTTGACTATCCACCTAATATGCTTCAGTGTCCAGACCAAATTCATTTCCTTCACCCTTCAAACTGCTAAACGACCCTTCAAGCAAAGTGTAAGGTAATGTATTAAGAATAACCAGAAAAAAAATACAAACCAACACAACCAGGAGCTGTGTAGCCCGAGACCATATATCAATTTGTTGTACTTACAAAAAGAGTATCATGACCAAAAAAAACTAAGGTATATTCCTAAGCAAACTGTAAGCTGCCACCTAGGCCTAGGAGTATATTCTTCCCCATAGAGATTTTTAAAAGTCTTCCTCTTTCTTTTCTTTCAAAAATTGTTCAATTTCTTGCCCCAGACAGTCCATATCGTCGCTGAAGGCAAGACTCCCCACACTAATTTCCCTTTCTTACTCAAACCAGATAAGTGCCAGCTTCTAACAGCATCCTCCATGGTTTCTGGGAAACACCATTGTACCCCAAACAGATCAAACAGCCTAGCATGTTGTCAGATAGAAACATGTCCAGTTGATTGTTATAGGCTTCACTTTTCAAAAAAAATAACATTGTTATAAGCTTCTTGGCAAGGTCAAGTGCTGCCCAAAGAAATCCAGATGTGATTCATTCAATCACCTATGTGACTGAACTAAGGAGGTCAAAGCATAAATATAAGAACCCTGTAACTCTTATGTGATGATTAGTCTTCCTGCAGAAGAGAAACTATCAACAACAAACCACAATCTGCTCAAGATAGTTTTGATGCCAATGAGGGACTGTCATTAACAATCATGGTTCCACCAACAAATTACTAGAATAGAATAGATACACTCTAGGGTCCTTTGCTTGGTATAATGGTAAAATCTTGGGCTGACATGCATAACAACATTGGTTCAAGCCTGCGAGCAACCACTTTGTGCAGAAAACATGCCTAAGGTAAGTCTGTATCCAGTCCACCACCCCAAGGCCCCAGATGGCTGGGACCAACAATGGGTAATGGCTTTTTTAAAAGATAAATTCAGATGCTGCTCCTATAGACTCTCATATTAGAGATGGAATTGGTAAATAGAAACAAAATTTATATTACAGCCCAAGTTGGCCTACTCCAGGCTACCTCTACCAAAGAAACCAAAGCACAGGATTACTAATAGCAGCCGCCCTAGCTCAAGGGTTAAATCTGTAGCCTGTTTCCTGCTATCCAACTTAATGTGTACCATTGAATGCTCAACTCAGAATAGAACTCATATGATTAGCAATTACAACCCATACTAGAAGATATCCTAGCAATGAATAGGCTTATGATATTGATTAAAAAAAAAGGCTTATGACCTTTTCAAACTGCACAAATGGGCATGTGCTCATAGGAGGCAAAATTTAGCTACCCACATTCTGACTTCTGGAAGCAAAACAACACATGAGCACAGTATGGCAGTTGGTAGAATACTTACCCCTAGGGATTGTAAATACTTCAAGATCTAACTTATGTATAATTGCATGTGTTAAACTGTTAATATATGAAAATTATTTGCCAAGGTAAAAGAAAACAATGCTAGTCTTCCAAGAATCATCTAGCTCACAATATCTCTGTATAACTGTATTACAGTATACAATCAGTTATAGGATACTATTAGCATAAAATCAATATTAAAACTACCTATTTTAATGAACTTCTGATGAGATTTTGTGCATTTCATTTTTTCCTTTAAAAAAGGAAACTCATAAGATACGAAAGAAATTGTGGAGATGACAAGATAGAAGTGAACTAAGAATTATTCAGAAAGGTGCTTCAAATGGAAAAGAAGAGAACCAAAACTAAGGAGAATGTAAAATTAAGCCCAGATGAGACTCAACCTGCTCTGGATCATGCAAGCCCATACTTGGTTCCTTATAAATTTTTCCATCTCTATAATCTCCTTATGGATTCATCCTTGGAATAGTGCAACTGAACAAGCACTCCCTCACTTAAGATCCCTTATAAAACCATAATATCTAATATCCAGAAAGGAAGGAACTCATACAGGTTAAATGGATCTATAATATAAGAATGAATTTGAATTTTCTTTTTATCAGTAATAACAACAATCAAGAGAGTTTTATTGATAGAATGAAGATACAAAACCACTGCACCCAAAAGGAACAAACCTCAATCATATCTAGCAACCCATGGAATCAAATTTCTTTAAAAGAAAAGGGCCTCATACAATGTACTTTTTTTATACATAAAAATACATGAATCTTTTTAAATGTGTATTAGATTGCACATTTATGTATCCTTAGAGAATGTAAAATTAAGCCCAGATGAGATCATCCAACCTACTTTGGATCATGCAAGCCCATACTTGGTTGTTGGTTCCTCATAAATTTTTCCATCTCCATAATCTCCCACATTGATTCATCCTTGGAAGAGTGTAACTGAACAAGCATTCCCTCATTTAGGCTCCCTTATAAAACAATAATATATAATATCCAGAAAAGAAGGAACTCGTACAGGTTAAATGAATCTTGATCTTATTTTATCAATAATAACAACAATAAAAAGAGCCTCATTGAGAATGAAAATATAAACCACTGCACCCTAAAGGAACAAATCTCAATCAAGTAACCCATGGAATCAAATTTTCTTTAAAAGAAAAAGGTCTCACAGAACGTACTTTTTTATACATAAAGAATTGTATTTGCCATCAGCAGATAAACCGTTGAGTTCTTTACTTGTACTTTCATTATATTTAGTGGCTGTTATTCAACTAGAGAGAATTATGTGAAAGGAATTACCAAAGACAGTTCTTAAAAATACAGGTATGGTTAAAACCCTAAAAGGCTAAACTATAAAATATCGAGTAACACATAAGCATGAATACATGGTGGGAAATCCAAATGTCATTTTTTTTTCTGCACCTCTTCTGCTTAGTAATTGGTTTCCTTTCACAAAAAACAAAAAAAAAAGAAAAGAAAAGAAACTTTTAGAGAATTGGGGAAGAATTTAGTGCTACTTCAATTGCCAAAGGGACCTGGTGGAGTGACCTTCTTTTCCTTTATCGTTGGCTGTGGTTCTGAAGAAAGAATCATAAGAAAACCTTTTTAATTAGGCTTGGGCAAGATATATTGAAACTTTCTATTAAAACGAAGCACAAAATACAACATGCTTGCGGTTTATCAGAGTGAAGCGTACTTGATATCAGAGCCTTTGGCCTGGTCTTGAACAAAATGCGTTGACGAATAATTCCGATGACTTCTAGCTCCATCCTGGATGAATTCGGATCAGAATCGATAGACTCCTCCGGATCGAAGGCTCTCTTTTTCTTCAGTACCAGTAATGGCTTCTTCAAGGGTACCTTCGACCCTGACAATTCGTGATACCCAACAGTGAAAGTGTACTTTTCCTGAAGAAGAAGAAAACGCCTTCAGCAGATTGCCCAAGAATTATATGATAAAAAGAAAAGAAAAACATATTATCATAAAAACCTCAGAGGATGGACGACAAAGGCATCCGATTTCGAGGTTCTGGAGACGATCTCGAAACGAAGGTTGGGCTTCAACCGCACCCTGCAATTCAACTATTGCCCACTCTGGGCAGCTGTCTTCCCTGCAGCCGCATTTCACTTGAATCTGCATTCTTCAGAGAGAGAGAGAGAGAGGAGGGAAAATGGCGGTAAAGATCTACTCCTCCCCGATAAATGAATGGGCTCGTTTCAAAATTCCAGCGCCATTTTTTGGGAGCACGACGTTCTTACACGTGTATATATTAAGGGTGTTTATGTCTTTTTGCATGAGGCGTTTGATAATTACACCATTTTCGGAATCACGTGTAAAAGTAATGGCGAGGGTAGATGTTTAGCCCGGCTTAATCGGGCTCGGATCTTCTACCCACGTGTTGTTCCCGCATCTTATCTATAATAACTATAACTTTTTTTTTCCATAACTGTACATTGGGAATATATCCCTTAGATGTGTGAGTAATAGATTCAGAATGGGTTGAATCAAGCCCTGGACAAGAAAGAACGAGGCATTAGTTCTTTTTCTTTTTTTTTTTGAACGTACTTAATTAATGAAGAAATAAACTGTGGTTCTAGCCCTCCCACTGGAGTAACATTGGGCTCAAACCGTAAATTTGATGCATTCAGGTTGGATTTGGACCGGAGTTGAGTTTGGATTGGTCAATGAATCCGTTTTAGAATTATACATATATGGATGCATTTATATAAATATGTATACATATATGTATATGTATTAAAAATTTTATGTATAAATATATATAATTAGGTCAGATTCGGGCCATATTTGAACTATCTAAGAACTAGGCATGGACCCAATCCAAATAAAATTTCAGGCAAGGTCGATTTGGGCTCAGACTGGACCCACCCAAGTTGCACCCCTACAAACACTAGCATCCCAAAAGGGAAGGAGTTTTAGGGCTAAGAAAATCCATTACATTTTTTGCATCCGACAAGATCAAAACCACTTCCAATTCTTGTCCTTAACAAATTTAAAAACTTCAGGATTACAAGCAATTCCACATTAACCACTAGCAAAAACCTCCCTTCTACCACCTATGGCCTATGGGTACAATAAAAGATTTTGAAGAATTAAACGCAGAAGCCAAAAAATAAAATAAAGCACCTATGGCCTAGTACAAATGCATGGGCGTGCAAATGTAAAAAAAAAAAAATGTAAATTCTTATTTGATTTTATTTTGGATTTTACTTTATTCTGCTTTATGTCTTAATTTACTTAATTTGTACTGCAATCAAATAAAATAAGCTAAAATTTAAAACAAAAATAAGTCAGAATTTACACTCAAATCATTTGCACTACCATGACTTTGCATCAGTGCAAATTTATTTACAATGCAACCAAACACAGCCTTAGTGAAAGAACCAACATGGTAAAAAGGTAAACCAAACATAACTTTAGAAGTAGAACTCATCACCCAATTAATCAGCCTAGCAAATATTATTGAAAATAAAATCTTTCCTAGCCTTCCAAACAAAATAAAGGAGAATATCACACCCACTCAAAAAATTATCTACTTAACCGATTCCTCAAGAAGAATTTATAATTTTTATAAGAAACTCAGCAAATGATAAAAAATGGATACAAGTATCTCTTACACCCCACCAAGACGCAAATAATACAGTTTAACATAAAAGAGCAAAAGTAGAACAAGCGTAAAACAGACTTCTCTTCACCACATAGAGCATAAAGCATCTATATTAAGACCTAACACCACTAATTCAGTAATTTGGACTTGGTAGAAACAAAATTCATAACCAAACGTCACAAGGAAAGCCTAAACTTAGGGGGTATCTTCAGTCTCCAGATTTTCTTTGAAATTTTTAACACAGAATCCTCCAATTATTCATTTAAATTCTTCCATTCCCAACTGTAAAAATATTTTACAGTAAAATGGCCACTAGAGGAACCTGTTGTTGCACGATTAGACTATTCCCAACTGGAGGGCGATTTGGCTTCCAATCGAGCAGCGAGCTGGATTTATCTGCAAAACAGTGGATCAGAGAACCCGGGGTGGCTAACTCGACGAGGTCGCCCCGTTGCTTAAGTTAGTATACTGTAATGCGAGTTTAATGCTTGAGAGTTTGAGAGCTTGAGAGCTAGAGAGTAGAGTAATCACGCGTATCTTTGCCTTGAGGTTCCTGTCTTTATATTCTGGAGTAGTCGTGGAACTCACGAAAGAGCTCCGGGATCTCCGGGGTGTGGAGATAGAGTTTGTTCCGCTTCCAAAGGAGCAGTATGTAGATAAGACTTACCGTTCCACTTCCAACTCTGGCGGGACTGGGATGAGTTCTCATCGTGATCTCGAAAAAATCGGGATCTGTAACCTCATCGTGATCTCGAGAGATTCGGGATCTGTTAGCTCATCGTGATCTCAAGAGATTCAGGATCTATTGGAGAGACCTCTGGAGTCGGTTACGTGGCGATTCGAGTTGTTAGCCCCAAGATGATACTTCGGTTCTTTAGGTCCGAACTGGATTGGATGTCGAGGTGCCTCGATGCCGAGGTGAGTTTTGGGCTGAGGTGGCTGAATACCTAAACTCAAATGTTGCGAACTAGGCTTGCCAGACTTAGCTGTCATCCCTTAATTAGGTTGTGTCCACGTGTCCCCTTCTCACTAGGTCGGGCCAAATCACCCTTCATCAGAACCTTTCCAAATAAAGTGATCACAATCAGCGTGTTTGAAAACTAGCGGTGACCCATTTGATGCACAGAATGCTGTATTTCTACGTTTTTTACATGAAATAGTAGAAAAAATGTTCTTTTCTTTTTTATTTATTGAGCTTCAAACTTTCTTTTTTTATATATCGTATATATTATGAGAAGCATGTAAACCAACTAATGATGGCTCACTTGATACCTTATCTAGTTAGTTGTAATAGAAACTTGGGGCAATGGATCACCTCCCATTGTGTAGCACTATAAAGCTAAAAAATGTGCTTAGCATGACATAAATAACCAAGTTAAAAAAAAAAAACAATTTCAAAATTGGATTAATGAAGATAATCAAAAACTTGCATTAAGTTCTTTCTTACTATATTTTATTATTGAACGAAAACAATCCATTAAACAAATCTACATTAAATTAAATTAATAAAAACAAAGGGAAAATCTAAACCTAAGGAAAAGAGCAATGATTTGTTTAAATTGGTTCATCCCATGTATGGGTTGGCAAATTTGGGTTTTTAAACATTAATATGGGTCCAAGCTAAGGTTCATATTTAGGTTGACCCTTAACCTAACCCAACCCAATAATTTACACCCTACTTTATTAGAAAGAGCCAAAAGGGGTTAAGAGATATTTAAGAAGAAAATAAGGATTTAATGGGGAAAAGAGATGTTACAAACATCGACTATTAAGATGAGAGAGAGTGAGATATTTATTAGAGTAAGTATGGATTTTATGAGAGACAATAAAGACCTATAAGATTTGTAATAATTTAATATAAAAATAAATATGCACGTGTGAGAAATGAAAGGAGTTAGTGTGAGCTATGTTGTGAGAGGACCCTCACCTCCCTTCTTTCCTCTTTCTATCTATCTATCTATCTATCTATCTATCTATCTATCTATCTATTTAAATGTTTGTGTGTGTACCTCCCAAAGGGTGAATCTTTTGCTTAACAACCAATTTTTGGTCAGAGCGATTAGGAGAACCAATAGGAGTGTAAAACACATTACCATTATGGTAATTCCAAACATTGATTTATGATCCCCTACTGAATTAAATTCCCAAGTTAGGAAGAAGAGTCCATATAGATCTACACATTAACTTCCACACCTGAAAAGCTGAAGTTGTTATTTTAGTAGGGATTATCTCATTATTAGTAAGGTATTTGCTTTTTAACAACCTTACCAACAAATCATCAAATTCTCTAAGAAATTTCCATGCCAATTTACGTAGTAGATCCTTATTCAACAAATCCAATTGTTTAAAACCAAGACCCCCTTCTTTTCTAGGAGCACACAACTTAAACAAGCTAGCCCATCTAACTTCATGACCTTTGTTTAAACCCTTTGACGAAAAATTCCTCTGAATTTTCTCAATTTCTTGTAAGGTTTCCCTATAAAACTGGGTCAAACTCATACAAGAAATAGGAAGATTGTAGGGTAGACTGGATCAAGGTTTACCTCCCTACATAAGATAAACAAGGAAGCCTTCCACTGATCAAGCCTACCCTTCATCTTATCCAACACAAACTCCAAAGATCCAAACTTGCTTTTCTTATAGAGTTTTCCTAGAAGGTTAGGTCAAGTCATGCAATAGACTGGAACAAGGTTTTCCTCCGAACATAAAATAAACAGAAGCTTGCCACTGAGCAAACCTACCCTTTATTGTTCTCTCACTTCTTCCTCTTCAAAGTTCATTGTTTTTCTTATTCTGATAGAAATTTATTTGGTATCTTGCTTTTCTACTTGGTATCAAAGCCAAGATAGGACCTTAACAAGTGTTCCCCATGTAATTTTGAGATCAGCAGATAGAATGGAGACCTAAGGAGGCTGATTGGCCAGTTGTTTCAGCCCAACCCTTGGAGTTTTTTTGGTAGTTTTGTGTGCCTAAGAAAGTAAGAAGGTTTCTTGGTAGACCTGAGAATTGGGTTGGGTGGGTCGAGTTCGGGTTGGGTCAAGGTATTTCGGGTTGATTTCAGGTTGGGTTGTCAAATGCTAGACCCTAACCCTAAATGTTCGGGTTAGGGTTGACCCATGGGTCAATTTGGGTCATCCCAAAAAATAATTGAAATTTAAAAAATAAAGAAAAATTACATGAAAAATATCAAAATTAAAAGGATTAACCTTAAAATTCCAAATATAAAATAAAAAACTTGAATATTTAACAATTTAAAGAGTAAACAATAAAAAGTAAAGACTAAATAGAAAAAATTAAAGAGTGGAAGTTTCTAACAATGCATAAATAATCCCAACTAGACTTGACAATCGGGTCGGCGGGTTGACCCATGACCCAACCCAACCCAACCCCTTTTTTGGTCGGGTCGGGTCGGGTCGGGCCATTTTCACATTCGGGTAGTTAGATATGAGACCCTAACCCTGCTTTTTCGGGTTGGGTTCACGGGTTGGATCAACTTTTTGCCAAGTCTATTTCTTGGAGAGAAGACCAAAAATAGGAGGATTTGGAGAAAGAAGGAAGAGTCCTACTCGATTAGGGATTCTCAATTGCACCATTGGAAGTGGATTAATCTCTTGTTTTCAGCTTTTGTAAGTTAGAGTTGGAATTGAATCAAAAGTGGTTTCTAGTGATTCTTGTGATATCGATAGTCACCTTTCAGTTTTCTTTCAATCTCAAAGGAACCTAGGTTGGATTAGTCCTTTATTTTTAAAACTCCAGGTGAATTTTTAGTTTTCAGATAATTTATTTCATTGCCTAGAAGATATCAATTGGGCTATAGAGGATTTTTGGAGAGTTCTTTTGTTGTTTTTCTCTCTGGTAGGGTTCCTGAGATCCTGGTAAGGTTTTTAGGTTGTATTCTTTGGTGCTTAAGACCAAAGCAATCTAGTCTACGAGACTTCATATACTTATTTTTGAGTGTTTTAGATTGTTTGAAATAAAATGGATGCTAGTAGGACTGACCAAAAATCAACTGTTGATCTTGGGGTGGGTCTAGATGGTATTGGTGACATTAGAATGTTGGTTTTATTACTACAGTAAGATTGGATGGTACTAATTACTTACAATGGGCACAATCGGCATATATGGCTATTGGTGCATAGGGTAAATTGGGATATATTACAAGGGAGAAGAAGAAACCAAAAGTTATCAGTCCCTCTTGTGCTCATTGGGTGCAAAAGAATTACATGGTCGAGGCATGGTTGTGTAATTCTATGCTCCTCCATATTAGCAAGAACTTCTTATGGACAAATACTGTAAAAGATATTTGGGATGGAGTTTCAAAGACCTATTCTTAGAATCAAAATATAGTTGAAGCCTATCAATTGAGGAATTAGGTAATTAATACCAAATAGAGAGACAAACCTCTTTTAGTGTATTTCCCCTCACTAAAGAACTTATGGCAGGAAATAGATCATTTGGAGACAATGGAGTGGGAAAGGTGGAAAGCACTAAATATATTGCAACATATAAGAAGTTAGTTGAAAAGAATCGGGTGTTTAAATTTTTGACTAGTTTAAACCCAGAATATAATGCTGCTAGGCAACACATTCTATCTAGTGATAGTGTCACTCTCTCACAGCATATGCTTTTGTTATTGAGGAGAGTAGAATGAATGCCATGTTGAAAGGACAAATGATTAAAGCTTCGGTTATGGCTAGTAGTTCTAGACTATGGAGATAAGGGTGATAATGGTGAAAACAAGGAGGATAAAAATGATCTCTTTTGTAATCACTGTAAGAAGTCTAAGCATACAAAAGACATTGGAAATTTCATCCACATTTGATTCCAGCTAAGCTTAGAAACAAGAAGGGGATGTGAATCTATCAAGCCCATGCTTTGGTTTTTAGTCAAAATAAATTAATATATAATTACTAATTTACCCATTGTCATGATAACGTGGCATTTCCAGAAATTCTCTCAACAGCATAGAGCTGTTGGCCCCCAACAGCTAAAGTTTTTATAGCTGGGGGAGGGTATCTTCATTTAGCGTGAGACCCACAGATAGCAGAAAACAAACGCATGTAAGTTGACCAACTTACCCCCTCTAAATACTAGAAAATAAATGAGGCCTTAGTAGTATTTTGTTTAAATCTGCAAAGATGTCGGCAAATACATGTTTTGAAACCTTAAATGATAGTTAGAATTAATCTCTGTTAACATCCTTGTATTTTTTCACTACTTATAGCCTCAAATCTCTTTGTTCTGTAATATAGTTATGTAAAAATAACAAACTAATAATAATAATAATAATAATAATAATAATAATAAATGGAATTGATTAAAAAAGGAATGAGCTGTTTCTTTTTTATTTAAATTGTAGTTTTGGTTTGGATGATTCCATTCAACAGATGAGAGGAATAGAAGAAGAATAGGAGAATGGAAATTGTCAAACGAACAAACAAAGCACTGAAAACTAAAACCAAAAACACAACATTTTTTTTTCTAATCTTTATCGTCTTCAGCCAGCAAGATGAAGAAGACATGTTCACAAACATGGTGGACTCCAAGACAAATCTAGTAGAAGACAACATCGAGATATGTAAGTAAAATAAAAGACCACAACACAACTTGAGCTTTAAAGAGATAACTAAAACAAATATAAAGCAGAGTAAAATACGATGGTGGGAAGTGGTTTGCCATCCTTTGACCTCGCACCTGAAAAATCTCTTGAGCCTCAGGAGCCAAGAGTTATAACGGGCATGCTTGTGCTTTGGGTTTTGTTTCAATACCTGGAGGTGGTGGCACTGGCACAGAACTAGAACTAGAACTTGGAGCTTCCACTGCAAAATGAAAAACAAATACTGTTATAAAATGCTCAAGGACATATAATTAGATCAAAAACCTTCAAGGTAGCAAATGCACAAACTCATAACAAGATCCAGAAGATGACAGATTCTGTAGCCCAAAAGAATCTTCTTTTGAGCATTGCACAGTCAGAGAGAGAGAGAGAGAGAAAGACCTGGTTTTGTCGAGTTTGCTTTGTTATTTGTTATTATGAAAACCCTAGACTGAATTCGCTCAAGTGCTTTTCCCTTTTCAGATTTCATGTATTGGAGTCATTGGACATTGGACAAATCAAATTATGTCCACTCCAATCCAATGAACACATATGACCCTTAAATCTGGACTGATGCAACCCAATAAGAAATATGGGATTTCCAAATCCATTGTAATTGGGTTTGATTCAAATTGGATCCGATCCCAACCCAGTTCATTGACAGCCATAAACACATGAATTGATTTTTTATTTTAAACACTTGTGTATTTGCATTTCATTGGGGGTTGCGTGCAACCACAATTACAGAAGGCTTTTCCTCTGGGGGACAGGCCACCCTCCGTTAAGACCGTTATGTACTCCCATAAACAAAAAAATAAAATCTATAAAGTTCTTCCTTTCTTTGCAGAAATTTGTAAAATTTCTCACTCTCAAAATGTTCATCTCCAATCTCAATATCTAGGACTAGAATGCTTTGTAGAGGTTGTGGATATAACAAAAACACCATGATGTTAACACTTAAAAGCAAATTCAATAAAATATTTTGAGAGTGAGAAATGACTCTCCCTTGTCCATACAAATCTGCAAGGTAGAATCTAAAAGTTATGCAGCCAACCTGTTTTCTGAAACCCTGTCTAGCCACATATAATCCTGTTTCACCTTGAATCTACTCTTGGGTGATTGGCGATTTCTCTCCATGAAATCCTTCTACCCCCTTTCAAAACTAGNACCTTGAATCTACTCTTGGGTGATTGGCGATTTCTCTCCATGAAATCCTTCTACCCCCTTTCAAAACTAGAGTCATGTTGAAACCCTTCTCAATGAACCCCCTTTGTGGCGAAACTTGAGGAATTGTCTCCAAACTAAATGTGAGAAACGCTGCAATATTTGACATCTCCAAGACCATCTTCACCAGGAAACCATATTTCTTAGGTTGTGTTTGGAACCATAGTTGTTACAACTTTCAACCTGAAACATTGTCAGTTGATCAATACAATTTGGTGAGAGATATGTGTCATCTCATCACATATGAGAGTCACTTCAGCTAAAATGATTGGACTTCACCCCCTTTGGAGGAATAAACATCAATTTGACATTTCTACACACAGCCTCCCACATGCATTTTTAAGGTATGTCTGTTTCAACTACCACTGTTTCCAATAACAGTTGTATGCCAATTTGTATTGATCAACAAACAAAACCTCAATCATTCATAGAGGTTAATGATCTAGGACACATCATTATTACCAATAATCTCCACAAGAACAACTCCCTTCTTTGAAACAATGAAACCTATGTGCATCCCTAACAGTAATTTCCCTGTCAGTAATAGCCGAAATAAATTTAATTGCATTATGGCAGTCCCCACATATTCTTAGGTTCTTCATCACAAGTATAGGTTCTCCGTCTGGAGTGCTAATCAAACCAAATGCAATTGCAAGCTTCTCACTGTGATGCCCTAACATTACCTCCTTCTCTTCTCCCCCCGTGACATCATCTTTAACTAAAGCCCATCTCATATCTGGCACATAACCAGCTTGTTTCATCTTCTTGGACATCTCCTCCAAGAACCCATATATTTCCTTTATCCTAGGGTGTGAACCATCTTCAGCAAAAAATGTGTGGATCAACTTGTTGACTTCAATCCAACTACAACCTGGTTTCTTCTTTACTGCTCTTTCTCTCATCAGCTTCCTAATCGTTGCAACCTCATCCCATCTGCCAGCATCAGCATAAATATTTGAAAGCATGACATAGGGAGCTGCATTGGAAGGTTCCAGAAGAAGAAACTGTTCAGCTGCTTTAGCTCCAAGCTCCATATTCCTATGTGTCCTACAGGCACCAAGTAATGCTGCCCAACCAATCGAACCAGGATCAAATGGCATCGTCTCAATCAACTTCACAGCTTCATCCAGTTTGCCAGCACGTCCTAGAAGATCAATGATGCATGAGTAATGTTCTGCTTGTGGTTTGATCCCAAATTTGTCATTCATCATGTTGAAATAGTTCCAACCTTCATCCACCTTTCCAGTGTGTGCACATGCAGAAAGGACAGAGATGAAGGTGATGCTTGTAGGTGCAATCTCCAATTCTAGCATTTGGTGGAACAGGTGCAATGATTCAATACTGAGCCCATGCTGTGAATAACCTGCAATCATTGAATTAAATGAAACGCTATTATGGTCGGGCATCTGCTCAAATAAACGCCTAGCATCTTTTAGATTCCCACATTTTGAGTACATTGCAATCAGAGCATTGTTCACCGAGATTCTATTTGTTGGTATGTCAGATTTAAGTGCCAATGAATGCATCTGTTTTCCCTGTGACGGAGATGACATGTTTGAGCATGCACTGATAACACAAACAAAACTACAATCATCTGGGTGGTAACCAAAACGTAACATCCATCGAAAACAATCAATGGCCTCTTCAGATGATTCCTCCTTCTGGGAGTAACCAGAAATCATGGTATTCCAAAGAACCAAATCTGGTGCAGTAATCTCTTCGAAGACCTTTCTAAAATCTAAAATGCCATGGTTGCATTTTGAATATAAATCAATCAAACCGCTCCCTACATGGGAATTTTGGTGATATCCGGTTTTGATCAGCTGAGCATGAAATTGAAGCCCACCAGAGATATCCCCAGTGCAAGTAAATGCAGTCAATACACTAGCCAATGTATACATGTCAACGTTGACCCCTCTACGAACCATTTCCTGAAATAATCCCAATGCTTTAGAGCCTTCCCTGTGCTGCCCATATGCCACAATCATACAATTCCAAGAAACCTCATCCTTAATCAATCCCATTCCATCAAAGATCTTTTGTGCCTCATCTAAATGACCGTTCTTGCTGTAATAAGTGACCAAGGCGTTGTTTACGGAAACATAAGAATCAAAACTACCCACAACCGCGAGCGAATGAATTTGACAAATTGCAAACATGTCATCGCAACAGGCAGTAATTACAGCTGATAGAGTGAACCCATCTATTTCGGTATTCATCTTCCGCATTTCAGAAAACAAATCAAGTGCCAAAGTGGTGTCTCCACAATCAGCATAAGCAGAAATAAGAGTGTTGTAAGAAACGATGTCACGTTGGGGAATCTGGTCGAACAATTGGCGCGCAATATGGGGTTGCGACTCTTTAGCGTAAGCAGATATGATTGCATTGAATGAGAAAACATTTGGGTAAGGAGTCTGGTCGAAAGCATTGCGCGCGGAGGAAAGTCGACCGCATTTAGAGTAGAGGATAATAAAATGATTGGAGAGGTAGGTTGAAGGAGGTATTTGGGCCTTTAAATAGAGCGTCTGAAGGGATTTGCCCGTAGCGAGGTCTCTCTCGGCAATGCAGGTTTTCAGAAGGTGGCGAAAGCGATGGAGGTTCAATGAAATTTGGTTCATCTGATAATTGCGAACTTTTTACCAGCTCAAACCCTCCACTTGTATTGAGCAAAACTCCTCTAACCATTAGAATTTGATCTGAGAAAAGCTTGACTGTTTGGAGAAAAGGTTACTGAACATGACACGTTACCCCACTTACTGTGTTACACAGTTACACCGAGTGACAAACAAATGGTTTCCTTCCAAACGCTTTGGTAATCTGTCCTCCGACCAACTGCATCTGCATCTAGTCATCTACCATGCTACACAGATCTACCGCTACCGTAGAAAAGTATTTCTAACAGAGAAGTAGGTCAACCTCTACAGCACCCAAGGATTTTGCACTTTGGTGCCTTATTCTATAGCAAATTGGAAGTATTAGTCTAACTCAAATGTATAAATAGACAGTCTGCAACTTCTTCGGAGCACCCATTTCTTTAAGCTCAGTCGGTAATCCCAGATAATCGATCTCACCTTTATATATCTTCAGAAATTGGGCGAGTTCCTTTGGTACTTGGCTTCGTTACAAACATCTGAAGCTTTTGTCGCTGGCCGTAAAAACGGTAACCATGTTGAAGAAATCCTGTAAAACACGATTAACAAACTTGGTAGTACCTCGCAACGCATGATCGCATCCAGTGCACCCTTTGTTCACGGAGATCGTGGACCCTCCAATTGGGTACACTGTAAAGTGTAAACTCGACGTTTCTGACGGGCCCAGCCCGAGTCTAGACCGACCCAGCCAGCAATTTTACACGGGCCGGGCCTGGGCTAAAAAGTTTGAGCTTTTAAATATTATGGGCTGGGCTCGGACTAACACTTATCCAGAGCTGTCAATGGATCGGGTCTACCCGACAGAACCGATATGACCCAACCTATTATATAGGTTTTAGTCTATGATTTTGTCCCGATTAATAATTGGGTGGAGATTGTATTTTTGCTGTTCCAAACCAATTCGATCCCAAAGCGACTACAAAGTTAATAATAAAAAAGGATTCCTAGCTTTTTTATAATTTTTGTTATATTCAAAAGGAAAGATTTTATAAATTGTGTAAGATCATTTTGGTTAAAACACTTGTTTTATCAACATAATCATTTTATTATGTTTATAAGTTTCAAATAATTGTTACCATACGTAATTATAAATATGAAGTACAATTGGGTCTATTCTGGTCAGTAGGGGTGCTAACCGAACTGTGGACTTATTTTTGAAACTGAACTGGGGTTATCGTTTTTTTGGAAAACTGGTAATCGAAATCGAACCAGAGTCAATCGGTTAACCGGTTTGGTTAATCATCGATTTTTTATTATTTGTAATATATTATAAAAATATATAAATATATGATAAAACACTAGAAATATATAATATTATATTTTAAATAATAAATAATATATATAATGCATATTTATTAATTTATAGTGTATGGAAAATATATAATATAATATATATGCATAAAAATACATAAAAATATATATAAATATATGTATACCAGTCGGTTCGGTTAACTACTGGTTTTCTATTTTGGTTAACCGAAACCGAACCAGTACCTTTGTTTTTTCTAAAACACCAAACTGATCTATTCGATAACCGAATTTTTTGTTCGGTTTTGATCGGTTCGATTTTTTGGTTTTTCTTGCTCACCCCTATTGGTCAGACTCGATTGCCCCGATTAATAAATAGGACGATTCTAGATCAGTTACATGGAACCGATTAAACAATGGATTTGGGACTGGTACAACTTGTCCCAGACCGCACCCGACCCATTGACTGTTCTACCTATGTCAACAATTCTCCAACTGTTTTTGCGACTAAAGCTTCATTCGATGGAGCTAGAAAAGGGTGAAACAACGAGAACAAAACCTACTCCAGAATAAAACCTGTATACTATATTTTACCATTGGCCTCGAGTAATTCCCCATGTGTTTCAAAGGGCATTCGATAGTGTTTACATGTGATTGGTTACATAGCCTGCTATACACAGCATGGTGAGCAGGAGATTTGGGCTTCATTTAGTCTAGTTGGCATAGTTTAAGGTAACCAAGACGAGAATTATCTCGAGAGGAAGTGAAGAAATCAAAGTCTATGGTATTAAAAGCTCATCAAATGGTGGCACTAGAAAGCTTTGCATCAAGGGTGTAGATGAAAGAAGACTCAAGACTAGTCAAGGATAGCCTGCAAGATAAAGCATCAAGGGTGTAAAGTGCAAAGTCTTGTATTTTATATTATTCTATATATACTTGCACATGGCCCCATAATAGTGAATCTAAAAAGAAAATTGTAATACCAAATCCAAGGGGTATGCTTAGAGATTTTGAGGGAGAGTTCAACTGGGTCCACATCTACACCAGTCAGACTTATAACCACACCTAGCTTTAATGTAAGGTCGTCTATACATGTGTGCAAGTAAAGGGTAAAAATATAAGTTCGCATACAGTTTTGTGAATTTGATCTTGTTCCTCCTATTTTGGAGGGATGCTAATTGACCATCTCAACTATATATTGAATTGTAAAAGCATGTAAACAATATGAAAGCCCATAGCCAAGTAAGCTATATGGGACAAAGGATTGAGGATTGAATTGAATATAATTAGCATTATTCATGATTCATCAACATTTATCTAATTCGAACTTGGTTTGAGTTGCCAATCCCACCTTTGGTTGGGTAATTGCAGTCTGCCAAGGCTGACCTGGTCCGGTTGCTAACAAGTAACAATTAGGTTTGGGTTATATGGGGTGGTCGAACCCAATTTGGGTCTTGATTCACTCATACTGCAAAGATGCTTTTATAGATTAACACAGTGACAATCACTGATAATACATAAAAAGGAAAACAAAGAAACTACTACTTGGGGTTTGAAATATTGTCATAAGCTTTTCAAGGGAATGTTTAATTTTTTAAACAAATTGTACCAAGTATAACTGGGCAAGTCGTTAAAATCCACAGGTAACTAACGTACCCATCCCTATAATTCACTTCTAAATTATTGGCTAAACCCAAGTCAGAGAGATGTAGTATCGACAAGAGCTTCCAATATTTTCTTCTCAAGTTCTGTTTCATCAACCCACATGGAACTCTGCCGACGCAAAAGCTCATTCTTTTCTTTCTTATTCTCTTCTCTCAGCTCTTCTTTTGATCTCCAGTTTTCTAACTTCTCTGCTCTTTCTTTCATCTGCATTTACAAGTAGATGCACCTTGGGAATCAGACAATGAGATTTTAAGTAGCATACAGAGAAAACAATTCTTTTTAATAATAATGAGGAAAAATAAATAAAATAAAATATGGTGGACACACTGGGCTCTAGTGGAAGCAGAGATGGTTCATTGATTGAGTTTCACCATATTTTAAGAGAAGACAGCCCAACGCTTTAGAAATTGACCAAATTTAATCATCTCTTATATAAAAGAGAAAACAACAGAAACAATCACGATATTTTTTTATCATATTTTCATTTGAAGTCAAGAAACAGATCATTATTGAAAAACAAAAATTAAGCAGCCACTTAAAATTCTAATAGACAATATTATCAATTAAATTTGCCTGTTTCTTATGCAACTGCAGGCTGCCCTTACATTTAACTCAAAGTTCCAGTGGACAGCAAATGTACCCAGAATGTGAGGAACTGGAAACGGCACAAATTTCAGGTTTTCTCTGTGAAATCTCTTTACAGAAACTTGATTGTGGGAGGAAGATGTGAGTTTTTTTTTTTTTTTTTGATAAGTAGAGGAAGATGTGAGTTTCCTGCTAAGGAAATCTGGGGCAATTTAGCACTATCAAAAATAATTTTTTTTCCTTGGCTGGTGGTGTTAACAGAAGTTCAAGGAGAGAATGGTGAAAAGGTGTATCGATCTTAGCAACCTGATGTGTCCTATATGGAAGAGCAGTAAGTCTTTTTTTTTTTTTTTGATAAATGAAAGAGCAGTAAGTCTTCTGATCACCTATTTTTTCACTGTAAATTTGCTAACTGTTTAGACTCATTATCTGAATGCTATCCAGAGGCAAATTTGCCATCCTGCTTTGGTAGTTGATCTTCTTAACAGCTGGTATGTTCAGATTTCAGAATATGAATAAGATTGGCAGGGCATCCTGAGGTAATCCCTCAAGCAGTTTTTTGGGCAATTTGGTCTGAATCTTGACTTTTTGTTCAGGAAAAGAGTTCGGAAGAAGCTGCCATTGTCTGTTGGTCTCATTAGGTACTGGCTCTTAACAAATAATTTTATTAGTAGGGAGCCCAGCCATACCTTTTTGTCTATATATATATTTTTTTCATAATTGAAGCTCTTTGGATGATTGTACAGAAGCTCTTTGTACATGAGTGTTTATAGTTTTGATATCTAATACGATCCTTGACCTTTTTCTAAAACAGAAAGATATATATCATATATACCTAATATTATATATTTGGGGAAACTGGTTTCTACAAACAGCATCAGAAGCTGGCACCACATTCAGTTTAGACTTTAGAGTGGTTGTAAGCAGTGACATAATTAGCCTTTCCCTCTTGGTCAGTCAAAATTTTCCATTCTTAGAAGATTAAAGAAAATGTTTTCCCAGAACTTGACAACATTTCATCTTGAATCAGAAAGTGTTGGACACAATAATACCCTTAAGACTTAACTAACAGTCACATGAACCTGCAAAATAGCACCCAAAGAACTCTGGAGTCTGGAGAGCCTAATGCAACCCCCACCACTCAGTCACCCACCACATAACCCAGCCAAATGTACTGAGAATTTTTTTAATCTGAGGAGGTTTATATCTTTCAGACAGTTCCAATGATACAATCAAATTACCAGGTTAGACCTATCTGTCTTAGCATATCCATCAAACCAACAATTCCAATATATTCCAACTTCACTATTTGAGCAAAACCTTATATCCATTATCCATCAAAAAGGAAAGATGATTGTGACCAAGTGTTCTATATAAGATCTTGATTTTTAATATATCTAGCCATTTTGGGTTTAATTTCACATGTCTTAGAGAATCTTTTATTTTTTGAGGGGAGAGATAATTGTGTGTGGTCCCTTAATCCTGCTGGGTTTTTTTCTTATAAATCTTTTTTCAAGTCCCTCATAGCCACTTCCTCACCCCCCTCCTTTCCTGAAAAAGAAATTTGGTGTTTCCCTATTCCTCCAAAGGTCAGTGCTTTCTACTAGGAAGTTTTCCATGGTTGCATTAATACTTGTGACCTGCTTCAAAGGAAAAAACCAAATTGGTCTTTGTCCTCCAATTGATGTTTCTTATGTAAGTTAAATGGTGGGACTGCTTTTCATCTCTTAATCTCCTTTCCTTTGTTTTCTGTATTTGGGAATGGTTTTTTTCTCTTTTTGGTTGCAGGTGGAACACTACTGCCAGTTTGGAGAGGTTGTTTTAGCTCATCTGTTTTGAGAAGCACAAAAAGGAGGGGCAGAATTCTTTGGAGATGCACAAGGGCAACGGTAATTTGGACAATGTGGGAAGAAAGAAATACAAGAATTTTGGGGGAGAAGAGGAGTAAGGAGGCAGTGATATAACTCATAACTCTTTTATTTCACCATTATACAAAGCAAATCCCATTACAGAAGAAAACTCAGATTTCCATGCTAGCTACTACATTCTTATCTATCTGTATTGTATAAGAATCCAAAAAGATAAGAAAACACTATCTTATTTTCCACTTTTAATGCTCAGAAGTCAGAATTGGGTAAAGATCTTGAAACTCTTTTCAGACTTCAAGGTGGAGGGTTTCTTCAGGAGTTGGGGGCAATAGCTGGTTCTTCCTCTAGGAAACAAAAAACCCTAGAGGTATGGTCACCCCCAATAGGTGTTTGGATGAAACTGAAATTTTGATGGCAGTAGTGTGGGCAATCCAGGTCCCTCAAGAATTTGAAGGGTGATTAGATACGAGGATGGTATTATATGTGCCTTGTTCTCAGGCCCAATTGAGCAAGGAGATTCGATAAGAGCAAAATTTTTAGCTGCAGTTTTTGGGGTTGAGAAAGCTAAAGAGATGGGAAATAGTAGTTTGATAATTAAAGATGATTCAAAGATAGTAGCGGGATGGTTGAAGAAAGGTGAAGGGGTGATTTGGCATCTTAGGAATGAACTCAGGCATTTCAAATCACTGTCAAAAGACATAAACATCCAAATAAGATGGGTTAGAAGATTTGCTAATAGCTTGGCAGATGGTTTAGCTAAGAAAGGGGTTCAAAAAGAACATATGTACTGAGCACAATTGTAATACACCGTTGGATGGCTTGTTCTGTAATGGGTTTGCTAGTTTCTCACAATCTGTTGTAATCCGTTTACTTTAAATATTAATGAATGATTTTCTGCATTGCTAATAAAAATATATATTTTTTAGATTCTATTATTTATAGGTTCTTTGTTCTATGTAATGATTTTTTATATTTTGTTTTGCTCAGATAATTGTTTTATTTATACTGATAAAAAAAGGCTAATTGTTTTAATTCTTTCTGTAATCAATTTTTACCCTTTATAACCATCCATCAAGAGCTTCTGCAAACCTGAGATGGCTGATGCACAAGAACATTAAATCAAGAAATCTATAAATAATAGGATAAGAGAAGTAAATAGCACAGATATAATATACAACTACAAAAGACAAAACTTATATTTACAACATTGCCTGAGATTTAGAGCTGCAAAAGATAAGATTTGAATTAGATATACCTACATCCAAATTTGAATATACATTTGAATTTTATCCCTTGGATTCTGATTCAATTGGGACCAGATTTGGATATTGACATATTGTATATCAATAGTAAATTAAACCTAAGTTATCAAAGTTCCAGAGCATTGCAAACCATTTTATTCTTCTTCATATCGGTGTGTTTGTGCTCCAACCACCCCAACAAGTGGTATCAGAGTTTAGGTTAAAGTTTGTTGGTTGCTGTTCACTTGTTTGCGTGTGTTGGGATGGAACCTATTTCAACTAGTAAAATGTCAGTGTCGATGGGAATGTCAGTCATCCAGATATAAGAAACATGTTAAAAAATGTCGAACATATTGTAAAAATTGAAGACATGGCAAAAACATTGTGAAATATGCAAAAATATAGAATGGCATTTCATTAAATGATAAAAGAAGCATAGGCACACCTTTTTAAATTATTATCTTTGTTCCAATTCATTAAACAAAGATAAGAAACTAAGGTTATAAATAAAATAATACGTTGTGAAGTTGTCCTGTAAGCCTTAAGAGTCAAAACTACATGATAGAATAAGTTTAGCAAAATTTAAACTCATAGAAAATGCAAATGATTCTAATAGATCAACCAAATAATTTATTACAACAAATAAAAACTAATATTTACCTTCATGTTTGAAAAGAATATAGATCTGGCTCAAAGCGGAAACCATGTACATCTTATATAAGCTAGTTACCAAACTGATAGGTCTTAAGTCTCTAGAGTGAAAGGCTTCAGCCTTTTTGGGAATCAGAGCTAAGAAAATAGCATTTAGTACTGGATTAATGATACTCCTCTCAAAAAATTCACCAAAACCTCCAGAATATCATCTTTGAGAAAATCACAACAGCCTTGGTAAAAAGCCATCTGGTCATGATGCTTTAGATCCATCCATGGAGAATACTGCTTCCCTAATTTCCTCCAACTCAAATTTTCTTTCCAGCCAATCTTTTGAATTCTCTGATAACTAAGCCAATCTAACCCTTCTAGCCAAATTCTGTCACCAACTAGCCTCATAAATATAGATCTGAAATGTTGGGCAAAGGCCTATGGGATTTCATCTTGTTGAGTGAGTCACACCTACTTCTAATTTTGAGATAAAATTCTACCTTTTCCTCTCACTAACCAATGCATGGAAAAATTTAGTATTTCTATGACCTTCTTTGATCCATTTATACCTTGATTTTTGTCTCCAACTTATCTCTTCCTTAATTAAAATGTCTTCCAACTCTATCCTCAGGGATCTCCTTTCCAGTTTATCATTCTCCTCAAAGATACCTCAATTTTCCTTAAGGTCCAATTCTTCAATCTTGTCCATTACCTTCTATTTTCTCACCTCTAATCTCCAGAACTGATCAATATTCCACTTTGCTTTTCTCTTCCAACAGTTTCAATCTCCTAATAAAGCTCATATCCTTCCATCTGGCCCTCAAAGGACACCCAACCCACCAATATCTGATTTTGTCAATAAAACTTG